GGAATATTGATTGTTAATTTGTATTTATTAATTTGTGTATTATCTGCTTGCATCCTTAGCCGATTTTTAATGGACTGATTCATTTTTTGGATGATGATAGTTATTTGTATAGTAAGGATATTAACAAATAACATGTCAAAATACTTACTGTTTACTTTTTATTTGTGTATTGTTTCTAATTTAAAAATAAAGAATGAGTAGAAGTGTTTCTGTTTTCTGATTCTGCAGTAGCAAATCATATTTAATAGTAGAAAATGTTCTCTCTATGCAATAAATCATAGCAATAATGGATTTTATGCCTGAGAAAGTCATATATGCAGCTTAAACTATCCAGGATGAATAAATTTTACCACTTTGATTTCAAATTAGTTTTCCTTAGTCTTTAACAATTTGTCTGTATCTGGAAGCTCTTTTTTCTTGATTATAGTTGAAGGTGGTAAACATTACAATAGAAATCCAATTTTCTGAATAGGAAGGTTCTATAATTTCAGTAGATTCCTCACATTAGACCCTTTCAAAAGCTTATATCTTGAGTTCAAAGTCTTCACTTAGGTCTTGACAGTAGCTTTCAGGTCCATCAACACAAGAGTAAACACATTTCACCTCTTTCAAGCTACAGAATCATATTCTCTTTATATCTTTTAACATACTTTTCAAAGGAAAAGAATTTTAATTCAAAAAAATCTTTCTTTAATTTCATTGGGACAATAAGAACAAAAAGACTTCCAAATTCTGGCTATATCTTAATTCCCAAAGAATCAAGAAGAAAAATAGAGTAATAGAAGTAGAAATGAGTGGTGTAAAAAATCCCTCTTGGATAAGTTAAGGGGTTTTTATAGTGCATACTCTGACTTTATTTCACAGCCACTGCAGAGATTTTAAAGTTATTACCTGATCATTTAGGAAGATTTAGCATTCCTTTTTTAGATATTAAGAGCAATAGTTGAGGCAGTTTACTTGTGGTCATTGTCAGTCCAGTAACATTCATCACAACCATGTTAATTTAATCAAGGTTGCAATTAAACTATTTCCAGTTCTACTATCGCTATCCTTGCTAAGAAAGATCATTACCCCCCCCCCGAAAATGATCAAGTACCTATACATATGGGCATAAACATTTTTATAATCATTCAGAATTCAATGTTAGTGTTGTTCATATTTACATACATAATTTTTTTATACTTATGTATATTATTTATTCCTTAATCAATATATTCCATATGACAAAACTCTAACATTGAGTCGACAGGCACACTCTAGGCTGTTTTATGCAAGCTTGGCATACACACCCTAGAAGAAAAACATTGATAACCCAACATCCAAGAGCCACTTCAACCACCAAAATCTTTTCTACAATTACCCCATTCAGATACTTATCTCTTCAAAGTTCTCTCATAGGTCCTACTTGTAACCTCCTGGTATCAATATAAAGGCCTCCTTGTAAGCAACAAAATCCACAAATTGGTATGAGAAGTATAAGCACTCATATATGCACTGAATCATCCATTCATTTTAAGATATTAAAAAACACAGTCAATACACCCATGTTATCCTGTTCCCATATTCAGTCCTCCTGCCTACAGTTCCTGAAGCATTTAGCTTGATGTGGTGTTGCATCCTTCCTAAGGAGTGACGTGATAGGGAGGCATGAATTGGAAGAGCAGAAAACTCAAGATCCCAAGTCTCTGATTCTGTCTAGTTGATAAGGCTAGATGGAAACTCAGGGTCCTCAAACTTGGGAAAACTACTAGAGCCTCACCCTTGTTTACACCTGCCTACACACACCTATATACTCCTTATCACTTCTCAATCACCCCAAGAAAGATATATTCACACAATAAAACCAGTTAGAATGTCTTTTTACTCTCTGGGAGTGTGAACCCAAGTCTCTCGGTGGAATTTGATTCACACAAACTGGAGTAGAACCTCTAATGAAAGGACTCCTTTCTCCTAATATGCTGCTCCTTTCCATGGAAACTCTTCATCTAAATATCCGTTCAACACTGGGGTTTGTCCCTGAATTTGGGAGCCTTTCCTATCTCCAGACTGGGCTAGGTCCTCCTGTGATTGCCTGATTAAATATTCTACTCTTCTTAGGAAGGATCATCACAGTGTAAATTATTTAAGATATTAAACTTTTTAGTATCTTCCTCTGTACCATATTACAAACTCCAAGCAAGTGGTGCCTTATCTGACTTATTCATTTCTGTCTTTCTAATTCCTAGGCAGCGACAGGTACATAGTACATTCTCAATAAATCTTTGATGAAGGAGGATTAGTAAATGAGTCTATGTAAAATACTCAGTTTAATTCCTGGCATATAAAGGTGCTCAATATATGTTATCTACTGGTGGTATGAGTCCTGGCACAGATCTGCATAGTCCTAAGCACTTTGAGCCTCACTGATAGACTCTCTGAAAGAATGTCTGCAGCTGTTGTCCTCAGAACAGCATGTCTGAAGGCCCCCAGTTCTTTCATAGTCAACCGAGCTGAGTCTTCCTAAACTAACAAAACAACTTTTAGATTAAGACCAGAAAAAGACATCCTCCGTTCATCAAGGCACGACGCTGCCTGCCCTTCTTTCTCTCTGCCTGCTCCTGCTTCTCTGAAGCTTTGTTCTTAAAGGTCTTATTTCTAGGACTTGTAGACTAAATTATGGCATTCTATTTTTAGTTGTTTGTCAGAAGATATGGTATGTCCTGCAATGTGTCTAAATGCTGTAATAATGAGCCATGATGTTATCGAGTTCTATAGTTATATTTAGGTGAGTTCTCTGAGCTGAGGCTGAGCCATCTGTATTTATTACATATGTGTTTACTTTCAAATCAAATAAGACTGTAGTCTTGACTGAACCAGAAGTCGTGGGGCTACTCTCCAGTCCTTTCATGCCCCAGTCCCTAATTTGTTGTTGGGGGAAGTGAAGAGACCTACAATTTATTTTTTTTAACTTCCTAGTGACTCCACAGGACATAGCTGTGAAACCACTAAATGGTACTTTATATTCTTGGACTTTTAACTAAAGATTTAGTTTAATTCAAACTTACTCAGAATGCGTCCTCTGTGTCTGGCCTCTCTGTCCTTCACTCTGTAGGAAATGAGGTGGGCAGACTGAACAGGTGGGAAGATGATCAGCAGCAATAAGAAAAGGCAGGGTGAGACAGTGGAGAAAATCAGAAAAAGAGGTCTGTTAGAGGACAGGCAAGTACTCTGGAGGAGGAGTCCCAAGGACCAGAAGAAGAGTGCAGGTGGGAATGAGGACCAAGGACCAGTGGACCACAGGTGAGGAGAAGACTCAGGATGGGAAGAGTGCAGGTGAGGATGAGGACCTAAGACTAGAAGAGTCCAGGTTGGGGGTGAGGACCCAAGACTACGGAAGTACTTCTGAGGACAAGGACCCAGAATCAGAAGAGTGCAGGTGAGGATGAGGACCCTGGACCACAGCAGTGAAAGTGAGGATTAGGACTCAGGGCCAGAGGAAAGAAGGTGAGGATGGAGATCCAGACCAGAAAAGAGAATGTGAGGATGAGCACTCAGTATGAGAGGAGCACAGGTGAGGATGACAACTTGGGAGCAGAGAAGTAGAAGTGAGGATTAAGGCCCAAACCAGAAGAGAGAGGGTGAGGATGAAGACCCAGTACCAGATGATGAAAATCAAGAATGTAAGAGTAGAGGTGAGGGTTTAGAGGAGAACACAAATTTAAGGATGCTGCAATGCAGATCCAGATAACTTCACAACAGGATGTATATCAAGGATGAGAAATACATCTTGACACTGAGTGACTTGGTACTGACCAGGTTGCATCATTACTAAATATAAAGAACACAGTAAAGAGAGAAAGTCCATAGAGGAAAATATATCTGTGGAACCCAATTTGATATGCTGGGATGTTCCAGGATGTTGAAAAAGTGAGCTAGAGTTCAAGAACAACACCAGTACTCCCTCATAGGTGTATTGACCCAAACATCTTATCTTTTGATAGTCTAATTCCTTCTGGGATGTGCTTTAATATCATAGGATCATAGGCAATCTTTTTTATTAGAAGGTAGAACATCTTAAAAATGACTTTGTGGAGTTCTGGGGCATCACATTTTATTTATACCCACCTCTGACCTTCTATAATACATGCTTTGGATAGCACTTTTATTTAAATAATTTTAATCTAGTCATTCTAGAAAGTGAATAACAGGTCCCACAACTGAGGAAACCATGGCCAAGAAAGTGTCAGTGAGTTGGCCAGGTTCACATAGCCAATGATTGGTATCTGATTCCTGACTTTTCATATTCCCTACTTGAACAAATGGCACAGCTCTGTCCTGTAGTGTGGGGTCTGCCAGACAATTTACAGTCCCTTGTCCTTTCTCTGCAGTTCAGCTTGTTACTTTGCACTCAGAACAGTTAAGACTATTTTTATCCCTTTGTTCTCTTATAGCTTATTGTTGTTGAATCTTTGTTATCCAACACTTAAAAGTTTGGCTTTTCTTCCCTACTTTCTTGATAGTCTATATATATATAGTTACTTTATGTTCACATTCACTGAGTATATTCTGTGTTGGTAACCAGTCTACTGTTTCTGAACATGTATGCCACAACCAGCCCTTCTTCCCAAATAACAGTTTGTTCCATGGCAAAGGCTCTAAGAATAGCATGGATTATTAGCTGAAAGATATCATTGCATAAAAAGTATATGTTGTCAACCTGCGCAGTGACCATGAAATTCAGTGACATTACGTGATCTTTTATCTTTCATTCACCTTCTGTTCCCTCTCAGACCATCAGCCTCTTCTCTTAGGGGAAAATGAGCTGCATTCTTAGGGTTGGGAAACAGTACAAGACTAAGAATATAAACAGTAGTCAAACAAGATCCTGTTCACAACATTGGGCCTGCAGCACATCATTCAAAGCTGTGGCAATAATGGCCCATTGGCCATCCCACTGGATCTATGAGATATTGTAAAATTCACGGTTGGTCTTTTCTACTCATTCTTTTCCTACTGCCTAGATGCCTTAAACCTCCGAAATCGACAAGTCATCTGTGTGACACTCAAAGTCCTCCAGCATCTGGTTGTGTCGGCAGAGATGGTGGGTGAAGCTTTAGTGCCCTACTATCGTCAGATCCTCCCCATCCTGAACATCTTCAAGAATATGAATGGTAAGTTATCCCAGGAGTCACCATGTCTTTTTAGTCCTAAAAAAGGGAGTGGCTTGAAGTACAGTTAATGAACAACACATTTAGGATTTATCATTGCATATAAACCACAATCCATTTGGAGAGTTAAATAGCTTACTCCTACCTCTTCCCTTGCTACTCCCCTGGGAAACAGTAAAATTAACAATTTCATTTATTACTCACACATACAGCTCCCTCAGCACTGAAGCACTGAAACACTTCCATGAGCTTCCTTTAATTAAATGTAAAGTTGTTTTAATAGTTTTTGAATATATTAGTAGGTTTTGAGTTTGTTCTTTTTCTGAACAGTAATTCTGCCTATATATGTACTGTTAAAATCTCAGTGTTTTTTTGATAAGATAAATTTTTTTAAAGAACCATTAAAATCTGGTGGGAGATTTGGAGTGTTTTAATACAGGTTTTGCTATTTCTTTAAAAAAAAATTTTCTTATTTTGTGGTTTCTAATTACTTATTAATTTGTCAAATTAGTAAATTGTAGTTACTTAGTGAATGGTAAGTACTGATATAAAATACGTATTCAGATCCATGTCTTTTTAAATATTACTCTGTAAACTTTGGAAACATAGTTGAGTCCAGATGAATCTGTTTTACATATAAAGACATTGGCAAGTTTTTGGTAATCTTTTGGCAGACAGTGAATATGCATCTGTTCATTGACAGTATAATTTTCTTGAAATGATGTGAATCTAATTTTCTTTCTTGCTGCTAACTTTGAAGTTCCAAACTTCTTGCATGCTTGGAATAAGTCGACATTTGAAGTTAATTCCTGTCATCCATGTAAATACGTTGGTAATTTAGTGGAATGCTGCATGAAAATTTTGCAACATGATCTGTCCATTGTATATATAAGAAAAAAGTCAAACAAAAAGCTTAGTGTATAACAGCTCCACTCATAAACAGACCCTTTGTTTGAAATCACTAATTTTTTTATTATTACTAAATATCTATGAAGCCTGCTTCAGGCATAAGCTATTCAGGAAATCCTGGAATTCTCAGAAACTCTTTAAAGGTCTTTCAATAGTACAAATCTAATTATGTGTTTGATATTATATGTATATAATAAAAAGGACTTCAAATGGGATTTGGAGAGTACAAGAATGTGTAAAGGAATAATACCCATCCCAAATCATCTGAAGAGGTACAGTTCATGTGGACGGACATTAGGGCAAGATAGGTATCCTTTGAGGGAAGAAAAACTGGGTTTTAGTAATTGTGTCTCTTATTATCCAAAGTTAATGTTTTTGTAATAACATTTATGGAAAATAGCTATTTACATATTCTTTATTCATAATTCATAAGCTTTACAGAAGGATCAAATATCCATGGAGTTATAAGAATGACTCTGCATGTGCACTTGTTTGAATCTGATTAATAAAGGAAATTCTATGTACATCTCTTACATTTAGATTCTTGTTAACTGAAGGAGTTGGAGATTAGAGACACAGATATAGACAAGTGGGGATGAGAGAGAGACAAAAGACAAAGGATAAAGTTATTAAAGAAACAGAAGAATCGAGGAACAGCCACCCCCCAAACATATCAGTTAACATTTTTGAAGTATGTGATTCACAACTATTTCCTCAATAATTTTCACAGAAACCTACAACGTATGTACTATTACAATTTCCATTGTTTTGTTATAAAAGTTGCCTCTTTGTAGGGTTTCTTCCATGTGAGCATTTGCCTCTCTAGTTGAACATGGTAGAAAGTGAACTTCTTCTCCCCTGCTCAAGCACCAGAGGCAGGTAGCTACTATTACAGTGTATTCACACTCTTGTCCAGAGTAAAATCTGGAACTTTAATGTAGACATCATTTTGTATCCTTGTACACAAGAAGAAAATCGGTGATTCTCAAAAGATAATTAGAATCTCCCCTAGAAGTAGAAGGAAGGATTGATACAGCTGCCACAAGGACAGATACATCTCTTTGAGAGGTCTTCAGTATCACACAGAGCTATTGGTTTCTAGCGCTTCTTCATTGTGGTTCTTTTTTGAACTCTGAACTCACAAATGTTCATGTGTTAACAAGGGAAGTGGTTGGCTTTAGGAATATATCCCTACTAAGAGTTTATCTCTTTGGGGATCTTATAGTTTATTTTGTGGTCCTTAACTGGTCCAAGACACCAATGTCTGTTGGAACTTTTCTTAATGCATGCTTCAGAAATTCTATGAACTGTTTTTCTGCCAAATATTTTTCTGATATTTGAGAAGAAATATTAGCTTCAGTTTCATTTTCTTCTTATCTTAGAAACCTGTCACTACCCTGCCACAATGCATTTGCTACATTTTCAGGGTCCTATTACAAAATTGGAGCATTCTAGCAATGAAAACTTAAAACTCTTCTTCCAAAGTGGCTATGTTATCCTAGATCCAGTTCTGCCAGAAGAAGTTTATCACAGAATTTCCAATTATAGTAATATTTTTACTAGAAAAATGAGTTAGAGTTAATAGTATTTTAATAAATCCTACTTTACGATTATAGATATTTTATCCATATTCTCAGACCATAATACTTATACTGGTGTCTTTAGTAATAGGTATAATAATTTATAATTAACATTATATTTACAATATGTACCATTAGGAAAATCCTAATTTTTAATATATTTGAGAACAGTTTCACATATTTCTAGATTTTCTTTTTTCTACTTGTCTTTTATGTAAATCAATGTCTTGTTAAACTCAGATTCAAATAAAGTTCTTTTCAAGTCTCAGTACAAAATCCTTTTGAGAATGAGTAAATAAATGACCCTGCCCTTCTGTCTGTCCCCTTGAAGCACAAATTTTAGCTTAGTTCTACTGTCTAACTTTTTTTTACAATGCCTGTCCTGCTTCTTTAACATTAAATGAACTTTCCAAGTAGTCAAGGAACTGGACAAACCTTATAGCAGTTGCTTACACTGAGAAGAACCAGGCTTACAGACTTCGTGGGGGACTGTCAGGAATAAAGTACGGCAAGGAGGAGCTAGTAACACAGCCTTAGTTTATGTCCCATCTACACTGTTATAGGTGATAAAACTTATAACCACCCCACAAGATTATTCTTGTTCTATGAGAGGGAGTGGCTTATTTATGAACTTTGTGTACTATTTTTCTATGAGAGGGAGTGGCTTATTTATGAACTTTGTGTACTATTTTATGAACTATTTGTGTACTTATTTATAAATAACACTTTTCACAGAGTTTAATTAAGCTATGACTAATACAACAACTAATAAATCTAAGGTAGTGTAGCAAAAAGAGGAATATTGTGGAACCAGAAGACATATGATGTGACCTTAGATAAATCACTTAACTTCTCCGATCTTCAGCTTCCTCATCTTTACAAAATGTGTATAATGACAGCTTGTTATGGGGGCTGACATGATAATTACAGACCATGAGTCCATAGCCCCTTTGTATGGAGCTTGGCCTTGACTGGAATAAATATGATAACCATTGTCATTAAACAACATTATATACATATATAACAATACACAAATATTTTGTGATCTTATATAAAATAAAATATTGTTATCTAACTTGTTAGAGACCAACATAACTAGGTGGTTGATAGTATTGGGTGAGACCCAGCCCAGTATCCCCACTGGGTACCTGTCCTGGGCCCTTGCATAACCCGTGAGGGAGATGCAGCCTCCTGGTTTCACCTGCTGTGTCACTTTGCTTCAAATGGTGCACCTTGCTTGTGATAACCAAATGCCTTTTGAGTAGCCAAATAAGCTAAAGGATTCATTCAAGCGTAAGTGATTTTCAAATGCACTGTTTCCTGGTATAATCCATTAAGCTCAAATGCATGACTGATGTTTTGTGCAATTCATATTTTAAACTGAGAATCTTGCCTGGGGTAGACAAGGTCCTCTTTGGGAGATCCAAACTAGTGTTAAACTTGTGAGCATATGTCCCTACATTTAAATAATGAATTTTACATGTCTAAAACATGTGGTCTTTCCAGTGACTACTTTGGAGTGAAAGAGAAAGAAGTATTTCTATAAAATATTTCTAGAATACATTTGTTCTACACCCAATAGCAATTTCATCTCTCCTATGTTCTTTTACACATGTTATTAAAGGTTACAGAAAATTAGGACAATAGGAATGTTTAATTTATAGCTTTCAGAGATGAACCTACAAAATTAATGATGCATTGTATTACATTTGAGGAACATAAGCCAATAAATGGCATTAAAACATTTACAGTTAAAATATGGGCTTTGGCAGCAGATTAGGGCTGTCTGGTAACTTATTTGGATTATTTATTTCTAATTGCACCAGTAGTGCCTGAAACACTTCAGGCTTCACATCTCAGAGACTCCAACAATACCATAAATTTGTGTCACCAATCTGCAAAAGTAAATGTAATAGTTAAATACCATATCCCCATGATTGTGGATATCAAATAGCCTTAGAATTATCAAAGATAATCTAGGATATATACCACGATAGACTAATGAAAGTCCATTACAAGAGACTTAAAGTTTTTAATTCAAGTTTAGACACATTAAAATATATAGGTAATAAGAGCATTAAATTTACAAAATTTGGGAGTTTTTGAACCAGATCTTTAATTCTGAAATGTAAGCGACTTATAAAAATTAGAAACAATTATTTTATGCTGATATTTTTTAAATAACCTTTTATGAGAACCTATCATTCTCAGGCAACCTGACTCAAACCCTGTCAGAAATTTCTATGGGTCCTAATGAGGCCTGATCTCATGATCCTTTAACATATTGATAAACTTTGAGGAGCTAGTTTTTCACCAGTTAAGAAAAGGAAACAAACAAAAATATTTCAGTTTCTCTGTCTTAAAAGTGACTTACAGCCAACATGGTGGTATACGCCTGTAATCCCAATTCTCTGGGAGGCTGAAGCAGGAGGATCTCAAATTTGAGCCCAGTCTGGGCAACCTAGGGACTTAATGAGATGCTATCTCAAAATTAAAAAGAAAAGGTGAGTGGAA